CGTATAACATGCGATACTTCTGTGAGTAAAAATCTCAGATGTAACACAAGCGGTACGTTGTTTTGTATTCACAAGCCCTGAACTAGACAATAAAAAAGTCTACATAAGTAACCAGTCACCGAAGCTGAATAATCAATGCACGATTACCGATCAAAAAAATGACAAACAAACCAGTGTTTCCGTGCAACTTGGTAGAACTTCTGAGTGGCGGTGCCGGATGACGTTTACCAAATTGTATTATTCGACCAGCTGGTAGTCGAGTTGGTGATAACACACACACCCTAGCATTTTGGGAGCTAAATTATGAACTTAGCTTTTTCCTGTTCCAGTATGTATGCAAATTGTATCGAAAAGAGGATCCGGTCGAGTCCGCACCCTCCATACACAGAAAAGCTAATCGACTGCTTATGGAAAACACTACCAGATAAAGATCAACCAAAAAACCGTACTATCTGCCGCTTGCAGGAGACCGGATAGTTGATAATAAACCTAAAGGGATTTTCTGACTTTTTAGATGTTCGTTTTGACCACGCTCAGTGAGGAGGTGGAATAATTTAATTTCTTTCTAACACAAAATTAGCCTACCGACTTTCAGGCACTAGATTTAGGTGTAGTTCTCTATGTTCCGAGGAGAACAGCCTCTTCTTAGCCACTTTAAATAGTGCTGCGTACTGTCGACGTACCCGAAACTATAAATACAAATGTACCGGAATTGTCGGCAGAAAATCGGACCATACGTGAAACACAAAATTTTGGGATTATGACTGGGTTCAATATGAAATACGCCAGTTAATTAATGCAAATCTTTTTTATCCACTCTTACGGAAACCATCAATTAACTGTTATAACTAAAGCTATGATTGTGAGATCATAAATCCATCATTTAAGGACGCAGAGTTGAATGAAACTCTTCAGGATATCTGCATGAACTGGTTATATACAAATTCAGCTTTTTTCTTCTAATCATTTTATAGGACCAACAACAACAGCGTTTTCCCCTTGGTCAACCTGTGCAAAGTCTGCTACCGAAAAAAGATGTTACTCAATCTTACCACAGAGGAGTAACCAGCTCGTGTCAAGTTGCACGTTCTGCTAACACTCAGATAGGGTTTCATTTCACTCCGAATGGTCACGCCTGCCTAATTGAGGTGTTATTCAGTACATTCACACACACACGTACAGACATTGAAGAACCACGACACTTGTTTTGTGAAAACACCAGACCGTATTGGGTTTGCTTAACTCACTCACCCCTGTTCGTCCCTGTTATGAGGTCATCTACGCACCTAGAGAAAAAAACCCACATGCGACAAGAGCTTTTGATTATGCCCCCTCCCTTTTGCAAGCACCTTCCGTGAACAGAATTTCTCATGTCATAGTTATTGGGTCGAATGCACTGAACCATTTTTCGACCGAGAATCTAGCGGAAAATAACTGGGTATGCATGGATACTGCAAAAATCATGCAGTTTGGGGGGTCTTGGTAGCCATAGCGTATTCGTGCGAGCTATGGTGTTTTATGTTGAGTGGGTAAAGTTCAGAACACCAGCGCGTGTAATTGTACTTCCGGTCCCGTCACGGATTGGGGTCATGTGATAACTTTGACACGAGGAATAAGAAGTTGCTAATTTGATTAGCAGGGTGATGGTTGAAACGTTTGCTCCCATAATTTATTTATCTACTTAGTGGCACAGGAAACTATCTACACGTGACCAGAATGGTAATTAGTTTGAATGCAGTTAATCCGTTTTTCATATTACTACTCATGAGTAACACAAATGCAATTCGACAAGATTAAGTAAACGCAAAAGCCACGCGATGCACCATAAATCTGTGCGTGCTTGCAGAGTTACCGCTGGTTCAAAAGCGGCCTGGTAAATCCCAATCATAAGAACGCGGTGATGAGAGTGGTTGTTGTTTATCAAAAACGAAAGATTTTTAAAGGGGACAAGAAAATCCGTTTGGCTTTGCCCGTCCGAAGTTACGGGATCACCTACCTACGTTTAGAGAGGGTGCTCATTGCGGGGGAGAACAGATGCAAATGATGAGCATAAGAATCTACTTTTACTTTTTGGAGGATATATGCTAATTAAGAATGTAGAAGATTGGTGATCCACGGCACGAATTCCCATTATGTAAAAACTGCAATCAACAGTGGTTCCAACTGTTGAGGAACGGCGGTTGCCATTTGTGACGTAAAACAAGGATAGATGAGTTGGTGTTCTCAATAATTTTCTCCTTGCACACAGATCAGAGTGACCGGAAATGTATGAGTGAGGCGGGGGCAGAGTTTACAAGGAAGCCATATTAATCTTTTGCCCCTGAGGACTTTCCATGACCAAGAAAAGTTGTTTCCTGTCGCACCGCTACAGGATTCCCTAAGTGTTGCGACCTATGAAACGGTACCGTAAAATATCCTATTCAGGTTTCTGTACCAATAAATTCATCACACAATATTACTCGTAGTTATGAAATGCTCCAACTTGGTGTAAACATATACTCAGACAATATTGTTCTCACCGAATCAACATGTACAATGTGAGCATCGTAATACAAGGTAGGGTGGGAAAATATGAAACTAAATACCCGATGCTCACTAGGTCAGTGATGTATTTGTGGTGAGGCAATCGAAGACGTTCGATGAAACCAAATTCCACACGGTTTCCGCTAGTGTACTATATCTCTATCTTATATGAATGATATTTATACATCAGTTGAGAATAACTGTCATATTTAAATCATTGTTGATCGCAATCTACTTGTGACGGAGACAGAACATATTGAAGCCATTCGCTCAGAAGCTTGACTATAATAATTATTGGTAGTTTGACGACCGTCTGGGCTTCGTACACATGTTTCATTCGTTTAGTTTTTCAGAAATCCTGACCACCGCCATGCCATTGTCTTCGCTGAGTAACCAATCTCATGCAATTATCGGTTGATAATCGATAATCAGCTGATTGAAAAATAGCTGATGAGACGTCAGTGTATTGCATGGTAGTTGAACTCGGGTACACAGAAAATGAATCACGCCTCATCATACGGTGAAGCAGAGACCCGGCTGAGGTGAACCTATTTAGAGTTCCAACTGACCGATAGAAACAACTTTTCATCTCAAAGCAACTAAGTGGATACCAACCAGTTTACCTAGTTAAGATGAGCTTGGAATGAACGATTTAGGCTAGCCTTATCGGGTTGGGTACGAATAGCCCCTGCACGGTAAAGGAAGCCGGGTCGGACAAGCAATTAAGCACCCCTAATGAAAGACCCCACGTTTGGATTGTTGACACGGTGGGCAAGTAACTCACTACCCCGCCCTATCTATAACTAGTATTTACATGGAGTACGCAAAAGACAACAAATGGAACAGATGACTTTTAATGGCACCTCCCTGGAATTTGTTCACTTAGCCCATCCAAGCCCTTTAATCTTCGCTGTACGACCTGTTGATGAATGCACAATCCAATTCGGACGGGGACAACACAAATGATTGAGAAAAGGAAAAAAACAATATGTTTTAAACACAACTCAAATGCATGTCGGTGAAGAGGTACCATTGATGACAGTGATCGGTCTGTACCATTACTAGCTTGACCATACCTCTACACAAATGAAATGGTATATCGAAGAGAGAAATATATTCTCGAACAGGTACTATTTTTCCACCCTATCAGTGTACTTTTGGAGATAAACTTCAGTTTATCTTTCAACGCGCTAATTCAACGAAGTATGATGCAACAGGTACCAAACGTATACACTGATAGGATGGAGAGGAAGGAATTGTTCATTAGTCTCCCTTTTAAGAACGAAATTGCAGCTAAAAACCTCATAAGACGACTGAGTGCAGCAAACACCTACGCTGCTCTTTCAAAATTTCGCCACTGATAACCATACGGAATAAAGATAAACTATCTATGTTGACCGCTTCAATGACAGTTTACTTGTTTAGGCACGTTCGTGATGCACTCTACGTCGGTCGTACGGCATGGCAGTTATCTATCCGCACGAAAGAACACCCTCCGCGCAAGCTGAGTCAAGGTGGTTCCGGATCAATCACAAGTGTAATTCTTGCCCACTTGGTAGGCACCGGTCACCATGTTAACGCATGTGAGGAATTCCGCATTATTTATCTGTTCCCCCGAATCGGTCCAGAATACGTACGTTGGCCATAGCCGAGGCCATCTGTATTGAACATTTGACCCCCGAACTATGTGCTAAGAAACGTCTTATCCAAGCTCTCCAGCTCCCCTGGGTTCGCGAACCCAGCCCTCCCCCACTGCCCATACACAACAACACCGATCCCTGAGAACTGGGTCATACGACCAACGTGATATACCTGAAAACCCCGGAAGCATTGATCTGAGAATGCGGCGCGCAACGCACATACAAACACACACCAAGTGAGCGACTCCTCACATTTTATTGTTTTCCTCCCAACCACTCGGTTTTTCCCTCTCATATAAACTGTACCGGCGTGATTACGAGTTATTGAAAACAACTATTCGCCTGAAATTGTGTTCCAAATAATCATATCCGCGTGAGTTTTTCATCCAGTATAAATAGGAGCATAATCTTTCGGCAAAAATTTCATGAAGTAGGATCTGAAGATAGAATAATAGCCTTAAGGTGAGTAAGACTGCCCTTCATTGACTAATATGGTTCACCCAATTGAACAATACTATTATAATAAAGTGTAACAGGCAAGCCCATCGATAACGAACTCCGCACACTAATGACGCTTCTATCTGTAACGAAGCCAGAGAAGAACAGTGAGTATTGATCCACAAGAAAAAAACGACAAAGGTTTATTGCCAGCACAAATGAAAACAGGCTCACAATTACAAAAAATCAGGTTACGGAGTCATGTGGAAGTACAAGAGGAAGAAAAGTAGTAACAAATTACAGGTGGAAAATGGGTGGGAGAATTCGAATGGACAAATACCCCAAACAGGAGGAGAGTGATGGACAAGGTGTGGTTGGGTTAGAATGGCAAAGTAGTTATCACAGCTGTTTCATTCGAGCCATCAAAGCCTCCAAACTGTAAGCTTCTGTGGTGGAAACCTCCGGCCCGTCTAGCGAGGGGGCATCAGATTGTTTTGCCGAATTCGCGACTTGATATACGGGACGTACACCCTCTCCCAATGATTGAATTTGGTCCCGGTTGGTTTGGTCAGCATTATTGGTGGTTTCTCCAGACTCCCCATCTGAGTCAACCTCAATTTCGTATTCGTTCTCCTCGTGTTTCGGTTTAGACGCGGCTAGCTGAGCTTTCTGCTTAGCCAACTTGGCAGCAGCTTCCAATTCTTCGGCATTCCACGGCGAATTAGTGGGTAAACCTAAACTTTCCAGTTGTTTTCTGCGTTCTTCTTGTCGACGACAACACCAGTGGTCAGCACAATGCGGGTTCGGAAGTAAATTAACCCGATAGAAGGAATCTTTGGCAGCACCATAGCCCAGATAGCTGGTTACCTGCATTTGGAATAATCAGGACAGTGACTTTGAAGCACTAACGCGGGGAGATTGAAAAGAACAACTTTCATACCTAGGACATTTGAGAAAAGTAATTACTATTTGATTAACAAGCGTTACGGTCAAAGACAAAAAGAAATAAACATTCACAGGATTTATAGTTTCTAGATTAACAAAGAAAATACAAGAACGGTATTTATTTCGTAAAGCCACGTGATCAAGGCGTCAATTGTGTAGCTCAAGTGTAAGAGATTCAGCTCCGAATCCGAAAATTGGCGGTTCGCTCACTCTCTTGAGGCCTGTGGAAACACACTGAAAATGGTATTCTAAACTGATCGTTTCAGTGTTGTTGTTTTATATATATATATATATATATATATATATATGTATATATATATATATATATATATATATTACAAATAAGGAGCCAAAATAACCATGGATTGAAAGAGAAATACAGAACCAGAACAAAAAACAACACTGAAACGATCAGTTTGGGGTAGGGGATAAAATCTGTCATAGAACATTTGAAGAATGAACTACAAATAGGATAACGGCATCCTTGAAGATCCTATTAGTTAAGCCGCTGAATGTATTGAAGTCTTCATACGAAGACAGTTAAAGTATCGACAAAAGCGTCGATGGGAACGAACTCTCTCGGTGACAGCACGCCTATATAGGCTGTCATACGGTAGAGAGATCATCGACCTGGAGCGTGATAAGGCTGGGTTCAAGCTTCGGAAGCTGAAACATGAGCAAGGTGAATAAATTACTAATCATCCACTATCTGAGCTACAGAGAAGTCCATTTCAAAATGAAAATCACTATCACACTTACCTCACCGAACTTCAACAACCATTTCAGTGTGTTTTGGACCAGTAGACTGGCTACCAGGCCCATTGTGGTCGGCAACGAAGCTGCGCAAACACCTTCACGTTTCAGGGTTTTCTCGTCTAAACCACTGGCCACAACCAACGGGGGCAGGCATTCGAAACAAGGTGTGCGACCGGGATACAACAGCTGGATATGACAACTGACCGCATCCTCACTTACGCCAGACTCAAACCAAACCTTCAGGGGTAATTGGAGCGGACGGGGGAGAATTGAGTAAACTGAGAACAAGATTATCAAAAACAGCANNAACAGCAAACCGACAGCTGAATGAAAGATCGAGTAGGCTACGTGAAAGCATATGCATCCGGAATAAAAAAACAGTATTATATAGAATATAGAATCAAGTCATACTATTAGTATATATATGTTACATTTCGCACCCGTCTGATGCCAGACTGTATGTCAAACAAATCGTGGTACAATAATCACCATGATTTGCATGTGGGCCGAATACTACCAGGTTGCCCAGGCCAAGGCGATGAATGAAGTTACGTTCGAGAAGTTGGGAAAGTGGTTTTTACATCATCATTCTTGAATTTAGATGCAACTAAACACTGTCAAATATGGGGTGTATGGGTTCTGGACCACAGATGTGAAAAAAGCACTCCACGAAGGTTGAAATGCCGTCCTTCTTATTTTGTGATTGTCAAACAAGCAGCTGAAAATTATTCAAATGATTGCACTGGACAAGATAAGGCTTGTAAAAATCAGACTCCAGATCCACCACACGCATGCTGTTCAGACGGATGGTAGATCAACGTTTCGATTCGAGTTCAAACCAAGACCGCTGGACACGTATAGATACTAGGTGCTAGTGAAGCATGTTCGAGGGAAACTTCGATGGAATCAAGCTCGAAATTTGGAGCACCATATCCTGATATGGTTAAGAGTAATATACATGTTGTTGGTTTAATCCCATGAAGATTAAGTCACAGGAACTGTGTAGTGTTGTCCTGGTGTAGATTTCACTCCATGTGAGTTCATTTTTCTTCCACAATTCAATATTTTGGTTGTCATACTTTGAAAACCAAGTATCTGGGAATTTACAAGAAATAAAAAAAACAGGAACAAAAGCGTGCATTCAAGTGTTGGCCCTCCACCACGTAGCCCAGAGATACGGGTTTAAACATCCGACTTAAAGGCTGTCTGTTCAAGTCTTGACAGGGCGATAAAATAGTACAAATAGTTGCGCTTGAATACTGTCTATCTCATCCCACTATCTATACGTATTTCCAAACAAATCACAGGTACACTAATAATCAACATAGATAATTATACTCGGCATGTGCAAGCCAGTTCCATCAAACCTGTGGATAGACGGGACTTTAAGTTCCATCACAAATGAAAAAAGCCAACGTCTAAAGTTGAATAACTTAGCACGGTTCACAAACAGGCAGGACAGTGAAACAGTTGAAGTTTCGGATGAACACGTCAATCTAATCCCGGTCAAACTCAAAATGAAGTTTACGTATATTCACCTGAAGTTTGAACAACTCCCAGTTAACATTCACCAAATTCTTCTATTCAACTGCAAACCGTCGGCACTCAGATGTTACCACAAACCAGTCAGTGTGCATATCAAGATAATACTGAAAGATCTCACCTCTGAGGCTCAACATCTGTCGCCAATGTCATAGTCTAGAAAAAACAACTGATTGTTTATTCAATCAGTCACACGTAATCACTGTAGCAATGAGACCATATTGACATTCGTTTCAAGCGATAAAAACCGAAACATAGATCAGAAGAGGTACTCAGACATGAGTACAGGGGATTTTTGACAAGAGTTGTGAGGGAAAGTGATAATCCGGGAAGATTGTTTATGTAATGTGATAGAACCGCATCGATACTTACCCACATTAGTTGCGAACAGCTTTCGACAGTCAGAGATCATATCAAGTCACGTGAAGCATATTTAAACTGGAACGAAAACATGTGGGTCCCCCACGGCGCAATTGTAGCGCCAAGCGCTCAGAACAATGAGCTACAGTTCAAGGCGTCGTGAGATTTAAAAAGCAGTATGACAGGCAGAATGGTAAACAGAATAAAGGAAAGGAAGGTCCAATCGCATTGGCTGGCTACAGAAATCGAAGAGAAAAATTTGGGAGGATGGATACGGGTATAGACACCGGACTTGAGAATAAACGGAGGAAGTGGTTGGGAGATTGATGATGGGGAAGCGTCTGATGAAGGAGCGATCACCATTTTAGTAGAACACGAAGAGGAACATTGCGCACACAGTCAACAATTCGATTCAAATAACGAATATGGGGTGATGAAAGAATGATCTGGGGTTCTGCGAATGAATGATTGCACACAGAAGATCCAAGTCGACTGTCCATTGTTTTTTGTTTTTCTGATTCATGTGTGACAAGAGAATGGAAAACCAGTCATCCAAGTGCAAAACCACATAAGGCCTTACTAGGTTGAGCCGGATGACATCCAAGCCGTCTATTATCGGGCGAAGCTGTCTACCAAGAGAACCATCTAGATAACGCATGGTTTTGCTCTTTTTTCATGTTTGCCCATCCGGGTAGGGCTTGTTGTACTCGAAAATCTACTTGGACTGCTCAAATTCGTGATAAATACGGTACGCCCAGGCACACCAAGGGCAGTGAAATGAACAACCAAAGCTCATTCAGCGTTTGCGCGTAAGATTGAAGACATTCACTAGTCCAAAACCAAGTACGCTTATTTAGTCCCTCAGTCATCGTCAAGAGTGATCACGACAAAACACTTCGTCTCCAATATGCAGATTTTTGGCCCTCTCCAACACCTAGCAAGAGATTAATTCAAGCGGATTACTTCAGTTGTACATGACCAGTGAAAGTCTGCTTTGCAGCCGTTTCAGGTTTGCGCGGTTCATGCAGCCACACACTTCAACAGATAAACACATTGGGATGTGGATAACATGCTACCTTTCAGTGCCATGTTGACCGTGCTTGAATATTTCCCTTCGATCGGTGGCTGTACGATTCGTTGAACTGCCGGGAGTGATTGAATCAGAAATGCGGAATAGAAGTTCAGAAGGCGATAGCTCGTTCCTCCTGTTTTCCAACTGACAAATCCACTATGATAATAGAAGTGAACGCAACCCGCTTCTCAAGGAATAATACAACATAAGTGATTTACAGCTTAACGTAAAACCGATCAGATGCGATTCCATAACCGCATTGAAAATTCATGTGTACCGTTTGCTCCATCAGAGATGAGGTTGAAACTTATTGACACGAAAAATTATGATCGAAATATGTCCCTTATGGTGCGAAATGCTATCAATCCCATTCAAAGTGCCATTGACAAATGCGCTCCGCATCTTGCCACATAATTTGTATCAGTGGGTCATACCTCAGGTGTTTCAGGTGATGCGCGGTTATATAATGTTGAAAAATATTCACTTCACCCACGGTGAGTGCACCAAGATCACCAAGATGTAATAACATTGAATCCTTTGTCGAGACGGACAAGTAGTATGTGGTTATGAGGTTACCGCAGTTGGTACAATGAGAAATACTCACCTTTATTGATCTGGGCACCAGTATGCGCAACGTTCCTGGAAATATTCACCGATCGCTGTTTAGTATAGTTTTGGCCGACCTACATGGTATAACTCTGAGAATAAACGCAGGATTCGACGAATAATCTCTGATCAAGGCACATGACAGTTTTTATGTGCTGGTGCAAATCCGAGATAGCATCCAAGTTACCGCAATTACTACATCTGGATGTGAGTGTGTGGTACTGCGTACTGCAACTAATTCAATCTGCATCATGCTTACAAAGTAGTACCATGGATTACAGCCGGCCACGATGATGCGTAGGTTAGAAGTCACATTAAAGAGGACATCTTAATGGAACGGAGTGACAGTTCAGGTGTTTGATTGTTATATCTGCGGTCAGGGGTATGTGATGGAAGCTGCAACTTCGGTCATTCTTTCGAACTAGTTTATCAACGATATGTTACCACTCATTTATTTCTATGCGAAAAAAGAACGGTAAGAGCGTTGTTAAATGAAACTGAAAGCCTCATATTGACCCAGTTCTTAAATGTAGATGATTGAGGACACGTGTCTCTTTACACCTGTTGGGGTTCGATATCCAGTCAACATTAAAATCAAAATTACATATGAGTAGTGGCCAACCACAGTGTGAGAGTTTCGGGAATCGAACCCTGAAATAAACAGTGAATATGCAGCAGTGATAACACTACATGTTATATTTCCCAAATGTCTAACTTAATACTGCGCCAAAAGAATCCTGATAGAACTATCTTCATAACAAGGAATCGATTGGCGATAAACCAGCAGTACTGCCAGAGTTCCCAAACCAAAACAGGTGAATATTTTTGGGAGATTCACAACCGGAGTCTTTGGTTAGCCAAAGTCTGACCTGCAAAGGAAACCGGGCGGTATGTGAAAATCGCTACCGTGGACGAACTGTTATGAAAGTCAAACTAAAGTTTGGTGGACTAGCAAATCTGAGAATGACAACGCCTTCAAAAGATGTCAAGTTACCAGCTGACGGGAAGATATGGATGTTGGTGGTCGGATAACGAAAAACTAACTGTTTTCGAAAGTGCGTACCTGATTCAATTCGTTACAAGCTTTATTGATGGTCATTCGTGCCTCAAAATTGTCCACGCAGCTAAGCACCAGATCTACTGGCTGACCGGCCACTCGACCACCCTGCCGTATTCGACTTAGAAAGTGCTCGTAATGTTCCATCAGAGTGATGTTGTAATTATGTGCTTCGATTTCAACGTCCGGATTGATGAAGCTAAGTGTGGCTGCGGCCGCTGACACTTTGCTCAGACCGGACTGATGAGGCTATCGAGGAGAAAGACAAGAAGAAAACAGAGAACGTACATCACTGTACGAAAATATGGATCGTGGAACATTCATTAATAAAAGAAAACAATTGTAGTATTAGGTATTGAAGGTAAAGTCACAAAGCATGATCGAATGGCAATAAAACTAGTTTGCAAGCAACCAAAACTATGTCTATGTGATGCAAATAAAGATCCGAATGTTGCACTTTTGTTACTTCTTTACACGAAACTGTCTACTTTTGTAGCATATTTCAATATTTTGTCAAATCGAACATTGAAACAGGTCTTTACTATGAAAAATTTTGAAAAGAGAAGCCAGTACACCATTTATATCCTGAACTATTTCGCTGCATCACCTTATCTTTGCCTTGGTGACCCTTACCCCATTCACGTTTGCACATTTTTTAATCCATCCCCCAAACTTTACAAGCACTGAAGATAACACCTCGGCTTGTGATGAAATATTTGCAAACAAACTGCCAAGCTTTGTGAACAAGAAAATGAAGAATATTGTATTTGTCTGCAGTAGAATTCAAGTTTGTTTTCCGCCCCTATCTCGACCTTTGTCCATCCTTTGTAAATTCTATGATCTTTTATACCAACTCTCCAGGTTTCAGTGTCCAAGGGCAGAAAAATCGTAATAAGACGGACAAGCTGATCCCATGTATGGATCCCTTCCTTGTATTCAGCACGTGTTCTGTTGTCTCATTTTGTCTCTGGGACGTTAACGGTGCTAGTAGGGGAGTCATATTGCATCATGATCGTGATGAGGGACCAGACGTCTATCGCGATTGCCGAAACATTTGCTCTATAAGGTTCAAACCTTCCTAGTAATCTTGCGTGTACTCTCGCACATGTTCCAATCACTGTCCTCATCCAACTGTGTCGTTCATCTAATTGTGTCTTGAACTCGTTTGTGCCGAGTATACCGGGAATGTCTCCGAAAGACGATCGACGGTAAGTGCCTCGGGTTGTGGCTGGGCACCTAGTGAAATGCTCTCATACGATCAAGAGTTCCTTATATCCTCTGCTGAGGAAGCTTTACTGACTGCCTGCCCATGGTGGTGTTTGACCACCAAATTGAGAGAACCAAAAGAAAACATTGGGGGCTATAATCAGGTCAGTGAATCACTGGCAGTTCATCTAGGGGAGATGGCTGAATGGTTTCAACCAGGAGGCGTTGACAGTGATCACCGGCTCGCTTGGGGATTTGGTGTATTGAACACCTTGGACTCTTGGCCCGGTCCGAAGGGCGTATGATCCGAAGAATTAGATACCACTCTCGAACGGACTGTCGTTTTTACGTAGATCATAGTTGCTAAGGGGTGGTGGGTCAGGACCAGCTCAATGCGGATTGTGATCCGCATATATACATATATATATATATATATATATATATATATATATATATATATATATATATA